CATCGGCCCAAACTTCTTACCTGATCCAGAAGACGGTGACGAAGCAGCCTATTCCGGGAATGAAAATTCCCCTCGACACACACCACGGGACTGCAGATCTCGGCCTATGGGTCTCCGTCCAGCATCCGCCGCCGCCATCTCCGCGCGAGCCTCGACTCTGTCGCAGGCTCTGGGGGGGAACATAAGGGAAATGGAAGGAGGCGATGGAAAAGGAGTTAAAGCTCTGCAAGACCGAAATACATGGAAGCTGGTACCTGCAACAAGCATCAACGGGAAGAACGTCCTCTCGGGAAAATGGGTGTACCGCATCAAGACCAATGCGGACGGTTCCATCGAACGATTCAAAGCTCGATGGGTCGTACGAGGTTCGATCAACGATACGGAACCGACTACACAGAAACTTCCCCAGTCTCCCGTCACACCTCATTGCGCATCCTACTCGCCGTCGCGGCCACAAAAAACTACCACTGCGCCAAATCGACGTCGCAAACGCTTTCCTGTACGCACCTGTGGACGCTGAGATCTTCGTCGAGCAACCCCACGGATTCATCGACGACCCCACGAAAGTATGCCAGCTGAAAAATCCCTATACGGGATCAAGCAAGCCCCGCGGCTCTGGCAGCAGCATCTTCACGGTCGCCTCGTAAAAATCGGATTCCTACAGCTGCCACATGACCAAGGCATGTACCGACTGCAGAAGGGAAGAGAGTATATCCTACTCATCGTTTACGTCGACGACCTGCTCTACATCGGTTCCACTACGACATCGCCACCTGGTTCGAAGGGGAGCTGAAAGGGACTTGATACTCACGGTGTCCGACGCAGTGACCCAGTACCTGGGACTGAATGTCGTCGAAGACAACTCGGCGTTCTACCTACACGCTGGAAAGTACGCAGGCACTGTCGCGAAGAAATTCGGTCTAACGCCGACTACGGCCCGACTCCCTACCGCTACGGGAACAACAACAGCACCTCCGCAAAACTCCCCGCGAAGCAAATCCAGGAGTATCAGCAGAAGCTCGGCTGCCTACTATTCGCAGCAGTAACCTGCCGACCCGACTCTATCTACAGCGCGAGCCAACTGGCGACGCATCTGAAGCAGCCGGAACAAGAAGATCTCGAGGAACTAATCGGGCACTACTCTACTTCGTCTCCACGCCGACGACCGGGCTACCTACAGCAAAGTAACGACACCGTCCGTACGACTACTCGGATACGTCGACGCCGACCACGCGGGAGACAGAAAATCGACGATCGAGAACGGGCTACATCTACCGACTAGAACCTATCGGAACTATCTCCTGGCAGTCGAGAAAGCAGGAACTAATCGCACTATCTTCGGCTGAAGCAGAATATATCGCCCTCTGTACTGCGACCAAGGAAGGACTCTACCTACGAGAGTTGCTAGAGGAAGCGAAGATTGCGACCCTGCCCGTCTTCTCACTCCTCTGCGACAACCAATCTGCGATCAAAATCGCGAACAAGGACGGCTTCGCCAACCGAACCAAGCACATCGCCCTGCGGTACTTTTCGTCAAGATGAAATCGCGAAGGGGAGACTTCAACTCAGTTACTGCCCTACGACAGAAATGGCCGCAGACTACCTGACGAAGAAACTGGCGAAGGCAAATTCGATTACTGCATGCTGCTGACCGGCAGACAAACGTCACCGGATCTGAACACGTCAGCACTCCAGAAACGAAGGGGAGTGTTGGAAATATCTCAAGGACTTAAGCGTTTCTGAAGTGTACACACACTCGAGGAAGATCGTAACGAGTACGCGAGTCAACGGAGGTTACACGAGGGATGGACAAAGAACACGAAAGGACTCGAAGGGTCGCAACCGGAGGTTGCGACTGACCGTTACAACAACGCGGATGGTAACCGAAGCGACAATCGAGTCGCTGTGCGACTCGATAACCGCTCCTGCAACTGTATTCTACAACTGCTTTACTTTCCTATTTTCTATATATTGTTGTATGCTTGCTTTCTTAATCAATCACTTGTTCTCATATACTAGTACAAGGGTTCAACTACTCAAGTCTCATTCTACAACTGGGACTTAGTCTCTGGAAAGATCCTAAGGGCTTTTCTCAGCCAAACAAATATGATATAATATACTCAACTTTTCTTTCTAACTACATGAGTGAAGCTTATAGATAGGAAAGACTGGCCTTCGACTACCACAACCGTTTTTGGTTTATTCTGAAGTTCTACTATGGTTTCTGCATTGTCCTCTCCCCATGTGGTCTGACGAATGACGGCCTTCGATCTTCCACCCACATTCAACTTGAACCCAGAGAGCCTCACAACAAACCTTGCATCCTTTGCCCTTTGAACCACTATAAACACACTCACAGTCCGTCTCTCCTTACTACGGAATGCAGCAACACTATGCCGACATTTTTGTGGCACCAGCAAAGGCCGACTCCCAGGATGTACAAGATCTGTTAACTGCTTTAGCATCCAAAACCGCTTCAGCTTGACAGGAGGGTCGAATGGGCCCGTGTAACCAGGGGGTGTTCCCAGTTTATCCCAATCACTGACCATTTGTCGCCACCCCCATCGTAAATCTGCCAGTAAATGTAGGCAGAAGCTTCCAGGATGTTGACTGATTCAATGACATTCCGCATCAAGTAGAGGGAAAGATCGTAGGCATTACCCTGTCTGAGTAACGGACATGACTCGGATACCCAGACCTCTTTCCGAAGAGCCCTTGCCAGCAGCTTCATGTGAGTGTAACGCACAGTTGTCGCTGCTTTGGCCTGTGAAGTAGTAAGGTTGAAAAACATTTGTAACGGGAGGGGGTAACCATGCACATTAATCCTGTGCAGTAGGCTTTTGCCGATGACTAGTGGTAAACCCACACTGGTAAGAGCTGCGTTGCTATCAATCCCAACCAGCTTCGTCTTCAGCTTCCTTCTCCGCAGTGCCAGCCATGTCTTTAAGAGCACTCGACTCATTTCAGGCGGGTTGAAGTTGCACCCTTCCTGCTCCATCCCACTCACCCATTGCCCTTCAAGCCCTTCATTAAACGGCTCCAGCGAATTAAATGTGATGTTCCCAAGCGCCGGGTTCTTTGCAAACTCCTCCACGAGCGAGGTGCCCCATCCCTTCCACGTGGTTCCGATTCGCCTTGGAGTGATCGTCACTCGGAACGGCCCCTTACCGCCCGAGCACACTCCGAACCGCTCCCACGCCGGCTCTAGCGTCGGCGCTGGCGGTTTGCTCTTAGGTCCTGCCGCTAATGTGCTCAAATCTGCTGTGCCATTATTCCACGCGGTGTGATGCTCTGAAGTAGGAGGGCCAGGTTCACCGGATGCAGGCCTGGGTCCAGGCTCGGATGCAGGCTTGGCTCCAGGCTCGGAAGCAGCCTTGGGTCGAGGCTCGGATGTGGCATCTGCGCTAGGTGCGTTGCTCGCTGCATCAGGTGAAGTCGACTGAACAGGAAGTGAGTTTGAAGGAGGTGACTGTACAGGAAGCGAGTTTAAAGGAGGTGACCGTAAAGAAGGTGACTGCTCGGGAAAAGACTGTAAAGGAGGTGACTGTAAGGGATGCGAATGTACAGCGGAAAACGAAGCATCCAATATATCAGCGGATAGTGGAACAGCATCCGATGTACGGACTCCGCTGCGGGAAATGGCGGCGAGCAGCAGCAGCAGCTGCACAACTTGCACGTTCACGGCAGCACTTCTTAGGATGAGGCTCATGATCCTTTGTTGAATACTACTCATTCAACGACTAGCTTACTCCTTACTTCCGTCTTCTAGCTGGCGTGTTGTTGCATTCGGGAGGAGAGATGAAAACTAGCACCATAAGCATTCTTGTTTTTGTTGTTGTTGTTGAACTTGTTTCCTTGTCCTCGAGTTTTGCTGTTCAGGTTTGCTTCCTCGAGCAACAGATTTTGTGTCACCTGATGCGACTTTGATGGTGGTTGGTGAATGGGCCTTTTGGACGTCTTCCCATGAGCAGTTGACGTCTAGGCGTCACATTTGTGGCAAAAGTAGGGACCTGGTTACTTTGAAGGCGATCGCAGAAGATGACTTCGTGGTGCTCAGACCAACCCTGATTCCCGATTTTCGTTCACGGACTGCATGGTCCTCGTCAGCATGGCACGTCATTTGACCGCCATTGGTGAGCCGTCACCGATACATTTGGTTTGGTTTAGCTTGTGTGTCACCGAGTCACACCCACCGACCTAGGCCAGCTGGGCCCCGTTGTTCAAAACCAATTTTTGAACTGAGCCCAGACCCAGCGACACGGCGGGTATCAGCCGAGAGAAATTTCGTACAGGCTCGTTCGGGTCGGGACGGTTGTTGGGTCCCCTTCCAAGATCTAGAGAACACCGACCGAGCCGTCGGATATTCGATCGCTGTCAATCGAGCCGTCAAATGTGGTTCACTTTCAGCAGAAGGTACCAATTCACCCAGCCAACCAACCAGCCTCGTCGCGCCTCGCCTTGACATGCCCCTCTCCAATCACCGCATTTTTGCCGTGTGCGGGGTGTGCCAAGTGCGCGCCTGTTACCACGGGAATTCATCCCCCCCTCCCTCTTCCCCCCTCTTCCCCCCAGATGGGGGAAAACGTTCCCCCCACCCACAATCCTGTTTCCCCGTTTCTCTCAGCTATGGAGGACATTTTCTCCCGCCTCCGAGCAAACTGACATTCCTTCCGCCACTGGTGATGGAATTTCAATGCACCGAGGTCAGCGTCCCCCAACCACCCCAAACCAAATCAGCTTCGGGAATTCCGCGCCCTGGAGACCTCTGCTCAGACAACCCTCTTCCCTCTTCCCCCCTCCCCAAGCCCAAGTGACCCCTTCTCGGGATGAGCAGGGCACTCCCAAGGTCATGACACACGACACCTGACCAGACCGGACCGGACCGGACCCCTGACCCCCAGTCATACAATCAACTGACCGACATGTCACCATCGCCTTGAGAAAGAGGCCATGGTAGTTCCTTCGTAGTCTATTTCCCGAGTTGTTCATCAGCCACATTGCGCGTTCCGCGTCAGACCCATTCGTAGACGCGGTTCAGCCAGCAAAAGGCCGCATTTCTTCCCATTTGTTCCGTTTGTGCTACTAATACCTGAATCCCTACATCCGTCGCACCTCGCGACTACACTACCACATAATAGATTCCTTTATTCCCCTGCCGATCCGTCTAGCTTCCATTTGACTCGGTCCGTCCGTGCAAACCGCTTTCAGCACTAAACTTCGCTACCGTACCGGAAGGCATTTCGCCGCCATCCCAGTCAAATGGTATTTAGTTCATTCGTCAACGCGGCGTTGACAATGCCCTCCGGTGTCGTCTTACAGCATCGCCTTCGTTCCCTTCGTCCCAGACTAGTAACGGCCCCGACTAGACCTCTTAAAACAGTCCTCGTCTGCCTCCTGGTTCTGCTCTCGGTGGGATCTCGAGCCACACTCGCTGAAGGATCGTTCATCGACGACGTCGTAGCGTTTTTCCAGCGGCTGAGCCCCTTCAGGGAAGCAAATGCTCCGGAGACAGCCACAACCTCCTGTACAGTCACCTCCCGTACAGTCACCTCCCGTACAGCCTCCAGTACAACCGCCTCCCGTGCAATCGCCTCCCTTACAGTCACCTGCCCCTGCCTCTGCACCTGGACCTGAGCCTGGACTTATAACGCGGTATCCCACCGCATGGAGTGATACCGCGTATTTGAATACGTCAGCGGCAACAGGACCTAAGAGCAAACCGCCAGCGCCGACGCTAGAGCCGGCTTGGGAGCGGTTCGGAGTGTGCTCGGGCGGTAAGGGACCGTTTCCGAGTGACGATCACTCCAAGGCGAATCGGAACCACGTGGAAGGGATGGGGCACCTCGCTCGCATGGTGAGCGAATTGTAATAAACCCTCTGCCGGACCTCCTTCTACCAACCTCCTCTATTACACCATATCCCCCCATTTCCCACTTCTCCCTCGCCCCATCTCCACCCTCTCTCTTCCCCCCCCCCCCCAGGCTGGGCAACTACATAGGCGGGTTCCCCAAGGCGGCGATGGACCCCCTTCTAGACCTCATGTTCCTCCCTCAGGCCTCGGCCTCAATATAGTGCGCTTCAATATAGGCGCCGGCTCCCTCCCGCAGTACAGCCCTCAGCTACACTCAGACGCCCTGCTTAGATGGCGAGC